CTTCCCCCCCCCCCCGGTCTCCGTGCCTGTGCGGCGGCGAAAACTTTTGTGCTTAGCATGGTCCCAAAGACCACAGCGGGCGCCTACTTGAACAGTTGTACACATGTGCGACCACGGCTGGTGTGCCCAGAGTAGTACCGGAAGGTGTTTTCTCAGCCGCGTCCGGAGTTAAATGGGATGAAAAAAAACAAAGTCTAGCGAAGCCCTCTGGGGGCCACGTGGCCTGCCTACTTCTTTGGGGGCTTCGTGACGATAGTGGCGTCCCCCTGGATAACCGTCTGGCAGGACAGCCGCTGGGATTCCGGTCGACCCTGTCAAAAAAAAAAAAAAAAAACGTTCGAGGAGCGGGCATCGAGCGGCGAGCCGAAAAGAAGAGTGATGGGAATGGGACGGGACGGGATGGGTTGTAACGGGACGGGATGGGTTGTAACGGGACGGGATGGGTTGTAACGGGACGGGATGGGTTGTAACGGGACGGGATGGGTTGTAACGGGACGGAACGGATTGGGACGGGACGGAACGAATTGGGATGGAACCAACGGATTGGGACGGGATAGAGCGGAACGAGTTGCAACAACGATCGCACAGGAAAGCCGGGGCGTGGAGGGGCGAGAGGATTTTTTTTTCGCTTGACTCAGCCGGGCGCATCAGTTGGGAACGAAAAACCCGCGTTCCAGTTTCTCCTCGCCAAATGGCTCAAGACGTTGATGGTTCCGTGGTTAAGGGTTGGACGGCGTGTTTTGGTAGGCCAGGCTGTAGAGGGAGGAGGTCAAAACCGCAACAAGTCAGATTTGCAACCGCTTCCATCCACAACATGTGCGTTTTTCCCTCTTAGACGATTCTTTGTTTGCCCGCGTAGCATGGTGTTCTATCGAGTGCACCCTCCGGCTGATGCGTCAAACATCTGCTTACGCAGAGTAAATGGGACAAACAAGCACATCAACACCAGGGTACCGATTCGCAAATCGTCCTTCGACTTCCATCCATTCAACGTTCAGTTCGATATTCTCGCCACCCTGGCACATCTCAATCTCAAACCTACGAAGTAGAGAGAGAGGGGACAGGGGGTACGCAGTTTTCTGATTAGCGCAACGTCGGCCGTACTACGAGACTTGGCTGCACCTTGAGCTTTCCAGCTTCCCATTCGCTCCTGGGATCCCAGCCTTCGGCTTCAACAACCTGCACAACGCAAGTGCCGCACTGACCCCCGCCGTTGCAGTTCGTCATCTGATCAATAGTTAGTTCGAACGGAAGCACGCACGGCATTATAGTTATTGTTTGGATGAATTGCGTGTGTGTGGATCTTGTTGCCGTTGTTGTTGCTGCCGCTGCTGCTTGCCGCATGTTGCTGTGTTGTTAATTCAACCATTTTCACGGTTCCTCCATCTTGCTCGGACAGAAGCAAGCAGCAAATGAGGCAAACCCTATTGGTGCTATGTATCTGCGGCACTGGCAAAGACACCGCTTTCCACGCCAACGCCGCCTCGGAGGCAAGCAAACCCTTGCACGCCTCGAAAAATAGTACGATACACTCAAACATCGTCGAAATTGTTGTGAGTGCATCCATCCCGATCTGCGGCAAAAGACACCGACCTTCCCGACCATGTCGTACACCTCCACCTTCCCCGCGAGGAGCGTCTTCCGTAGGTTATCCCCAGTCTTGGCCTTCAGAGTAACGCCTCCGACAGTGAGCTCGCAGGGAACTCCCATCGCCACGGCCGGCGCGGGCGCCTCGGGTGCTTCTGCCGCCGCCGCCGCCGCCGCGGAGGGGTCGCGGAATACGAGATCGATGGGTACCCCCGCCGGCGCGGCGACGAGGGTGTCCATCACGAGGTCGAACATCGCGCTCGTGACGTCTTTCCCGCCGATCTCCAACAGGATCATGTCTGCGCCGATCTCCTGTCGTGTGGGATAGGTGTGGGTGGGTGGGTGGGAAAACCAATGCTGTGTGTGATGTCTGTGTTGCGGAATTTGGAATAAATTGCCGACCGAATTTTCACGTGCTGGTTCGATGTGCACTTGTCACGGGACCAACAAACGGCGTGTTTGAATGACGCTTTTTCCGGTGGAGCGGTTATGCTGGACTTGTGGCGGCGGACACTCTGTGGGCCTTCAATGCATGGACACCATGTAGCCGGGGCAAATGTCTTCGCGGGTTGCAAGAATACGCTTGTAAAGCTCCAAGTAGAACCGGGTTCTTGTTGGGGGTGCTTGAAAAGAAGACAACGTCGAGCTGTGCCTTATAGAGGAATCCGCTAGTGGTACAGGGAGCGGAGGTGGTATTCGTGGCCCGCCGACCACGCTAGTTGTTGTCAATATCCAGCTGCTTAGGACGCAAGCATGTGTTGTGGTCCGAGTAGAGGTCGGTCTCGCCATGATCATCTTATCTTTCGGCATCGCTGCAAAATAAGGTCTAGATATCAGCACCGCCGTAGATGTATATTTTTCTGTGCCTGCAACGATCCCGCCCTCAGTGAACCGCACACACTCCTTTACCGAAACGTGCGACACCAAGTATCATGTAGACGCCTTTACAAGAATACCCCCCCCACGTACGATTTTCGATCCTCGATCCCGCCACAAGAAACAAAACCCAGTGCTTTGTTCTTAGTACCAGCTGGTATCATTGGTACAATGCAGTGTATAGGTTTAAACATACCCAAAATAAGCCTAGTTTCCAGCCGTTTTCCCTCGACTCACTGGAAAGACTTCAGCACATCCCTTTCGACAGAGGCCCTATCTCGGACGGAGTAGTCTTTCTGTGAGTTTATGTATATTCTCTAAAAACCATTGGTTATATCTCGAACGGGTAGTAGCTGTTCTGTGAGTTTATGCATATTTTCTAAAAATCAAATGGCCTTCTTCGCATCGTCGGAAAATTTCCATGACAGACTGTACAATCTAAAACCGATCGTATGACCTTTGGGGGGCAGTTGGCATGTGACCACGAAAAGCGTCCGCCTCAGTTGGACCAGTACCGACAGTAGGATGTACTGAGCAGAGGCCGGAACGGTTGTTAATTTGAAGACAATAACAACAACAATGACCCCGACGGCCTTCCGAAATGATCGTTGAAAAACATTCCCCACACACATCAAACAGATCAGATCCTACGGATAGATCGAGCTACAGCAGTAGCTCTTTCGAAGGGTAATCCATTGCGATTGGGGATAGGTACACAGGTGATCTGCGCCTGTTGGTCCATGGCGATCTGAAGGCCATGGAGAGGTGATTGGGCTATGTTTGGCCGAGTTGATCGGAGAGAATCGGTGATTGGGCTGTGTTTGGCCGAGTTGATGGGAAATAATCGATGAGTAGGGCTATGTTTGGCCTAGTCGATCAGGAAGAATCGGTGATTGGGGTATGTTTGGCCGAATTGATCGGAAAGAATCGGTGATTGGGATGTGTTTGGCCGAGTTGATCGGAAAGAATCGGTGATAGGGCTATATGTTTGGCCGAGTTGATCGGAAAGAATCGGAGATTGGGCTATATGTTTGGCCGAGTTGATCGGAAAGAATCGTTGATTGGGCTTATATGTTTGGCCGAGTTGATCGGAAAGAATCGGAGATTGGGCTATATGTTATATGTTTGGCCGAGTTGATCGGAAAGAATCGGTGATTGGGATGTGTTTGGCCTAGTCGATCGGAAAGAAACGGTGATTGGGCTACATGTTTGGCCTAGTTGATCGGAAAGAATCGGTGATTGGGCTATATGTTTGGCCGAGTTGATCAGGAAGAATCGGTGATTGGGGTGTGTTTGGCCTAGGTGATCGGAAAGAAACGGTGATCAGGGCTATGTTTGGCAGAATTGATCGGAAAGAATCGGTGATTGGGCCATGTTCGGCCGAGTTGACCGGAAAGAATCGGTGATTGGGATGTGTTTGGCCGAGTTGACCGGAAAGAAACGGTGATTGGGGTATGTTTGGCCGAGTTGATCGGAAAGAATCGGTGATTGGGCCATGTTCGGCCAAGTTGATCGGAAAGAATCGGTGATTGGGGTATGTTTGGCCGAGTTGATCGGAAAGAATCGGTGATTGGGATGTGTTTGGCCTAGTCGATCGGAAAGAATCGGTGATTGGGATGTGTTTGGCCGAGTTGACCGGAAAGAAACGGTGATTGGGCTATGTTTGGCCGAGTTGATCGGAAAGAATCGTTGATTGGGATGTGTTTGGCCGAGTTGACCGGAAAGAATCGGTGATAGGGCTATGTTTGGCCGAGTTGATCGGAAAGAATCGTTGATTGGGATGTGTTTGGCCGAGTCGATCGGAAAGAATCGGTAAGATAACGATCTGTCCTGTAACTACTTCGTACATACGTTTGTGTTTTTTCAACACACACGGGGGTGACATTAGGCGTCACATCAAAGACGGCGCATGAAACGCACGCACATGATAATCTTGTTCCCACAACAACAACAACAGCAACAGCAACAGCTCGAACCCGGCGACTACTGGCATATGCTTGGTCGCGAAGCCGCCCTATGCCTGCGTGCTCCCCACGATTTCACAGAAGAGAGGGCTGGGTAAAATAGAGATGGATTCGTGTGGGTCATATCAGGAAGAAAAAAAAAATCCAGTCAGTCAGCAAAAAACATGACAAGGCCGCTGCTGCTGAATAAACACACGATGACGATGATGGCACTTACGCCGCTCTCCTTGGCCGTCCCCCCCTCCACCACGCCCGCAACCCTCACCCCCGGCGACCCCGGGACCACTTCCTCCAGCTGGATGCCTAGCGGTTTCGGCAGCGACACTCGCACCAAGTCCCCCTCCTTCGCCATCATCATCATCGCGGCTCGGCCATGGCTCCTCGCAGAAAAGGCGGGGGGATTCGCACGCCCGCTGCTGATGCCGGTAGAAAAGGACCAGGCATCGTGGGGGAGCAGGGCGCCTGACAGGAAGAAGAGGAACAGCTGCTGCAGAGCTGGAGCCATGGTCGTGGTGGTGGTAACCGGCGTCTGTCGATCCCTACTCCTATGTCTGCACTCCTGCTCTGCGCCCTGCTGCCTGCTGCTTCACGTTTCGTGATGGGTTGCCCCTGGGGCGAAACGCCTGCTGCCTTGAAACCCACATGGCACCTTTTCCTGTCAAGCAATTGCAACACATTCCTGCGTTTGGCTCCTGGTTGGGAGCTATGGCAGCAGAGCAGGGGGGAGGGTCGAAGGCGGCGGGAGGCTCGAACGGTACGCGTGTAGAGCTATGCAGGTCGGTAGCTTCCCGCCCGGAGGCGCATATCGCATGTTGTAGCAGACCTGCGTAGCGCAAGATACCACACCCCCGGACCAATCTTTCAGCAGAGCTCGGTTGCACAATGAGAAGGAGGATGCACAAAAGTGCAACGATGTACATCTTCGGAAAAGCTCTCGACAAGGAGGTTCCAACACCGCCATTTTCAGCAGCACCATCGTTGTGTTTGCTGCCGCAGAGTAGTTGAACTTTGGAAAACGGCCCAAGGTGTATGATATCTTCCGTCACCGACGGTGTGCTCCTGCCGCTGGTTTCACGGTGTCCCTCCAAAAACTTTTCATGTGTACAATAGCCTGATTTACCTTTAATGACGTCTTGACAGGGCGATAAGGCCAACATGCTGAGGCGGTAACAAGTACAGCAGTAGACTACAGGAGTACCAAACAGATACTCGGCTGTTTTCGACCTCCCTGTGTCACGATACCCGGCACAAACTGCTACTACATAGTACATGATGAGCACACGTCCAAAAAGACCTTGGGCAGCATTACCACTACCGCATTGTAGCCAAGCCGCGGTTCAGAGTAGCGAACACCAAATACGCAAACACACCCGTTTTGGTTGTCCCGGGAATACGGTAGAGGGCCCTCAGTAGTGCCGGTTGAATAGTGCGTTTTCCCGGCATGGTGCCGGTAAAAACTCTGGGCACCAGTGTCCACTCCTGTACTAAAACCTATATATATGTGCCTGTTCTGAATACAAGTAGTGCCGGTGAACTGGTCTGGTCCATACTGGCACTACTGAGGATCCTTCTACCGTAAACTGTTTCCCTGCCATTGACGTCACATGACACCCACATCAGACCAATCCAAGCTGCTTGCGCCCATTTACATGAGACGCGCACATATGTAGAGGGAAATTCATGCGGTCTAGAGAGTGGTCTGCCGGCTGCTTGGATGATGGTGCGCTCGATTCACAACACGTGGCACGGTAGCGTCCCGTTTCCCACTACCGTGGTTTTGCCGTGGATGCTCGGATTTGACCAGAGACCGGAACGGTTTTGCATGTCAAGATATGTAACATCACCCACAAGCAAACGCCGGTAGGGCTAGCTACCCGAAGTGAGCTAGCTGCCTGTAGGGGTGAAGCACCATTAAGCATAACTTCCCAAAGATGAAGCTGCTGCTCCTGCCATTGCTGATGCGTCTTCGTCTGGGACCCCCCCCCCCACGCGCGGGATGTTGTTGGAAAATTCGCACGCAGGAAGCGTACCGGAAGACAAAGAAAAGTTCGGATTTACCGGGCAAGTTCTCACGGCAATAGTTGTCACTGCCGCTGCCGGCAGCATTTTCGGAGCACGTCGGTTTAGGTATGTGAACGGCAGGGCCCCTCGTTTGTTCCCTCTCGCGCTGTGGTGAGCGTTGGTCTGTGGACGCTAGCGGCGCAGACAAAGAGGTTGTGCTTGACGCTGATATCTGGTCTTGTGTCGGTTTGTATTCAGGTGGTGGTGCCATTGCCTTCTTATGGGTAGTGCAGAAGGGCATTCTTGTTAAAATCGAGCCTTGCTTCCCGTGAGTAGCGATATGAGACAGAGAGAGACAGACAAACAGGCAGACAGACAGAGGGAGGGAGGGAAAGAGACCGGGGGGGTTGGAATCAGCGTGACAAGAAGGAGCTGGTGGTTAAGGCCGCAATAAACGACAATGGAACTTCTCCCAACTGCAACTAACCCTGTGTGTCGCCCCGGTGCAGTGCATGAACTCCGGTTTTACCCGCATATCACATGATACGCATATTTTTGGTTCACTATTCAATCCCCTTCCAACTCTGTCCGTTCTCCTTAAACCCACGCCTACAGGAACACCCGGCATACACCGAGACCATGCCCGACTCACAAGCCAACCCTCCCCCCTCCCAACTGCGTCGCCCCCCTCCCCCCCCCCCCCCCCCCCCCCGGGTTTCCAAATCCCCCCCCCCGTGAAAAAACCTTACCCA